GGCTGGGCCGCGCTATGAATTCTGGGATATGGTGGGCCACGAAGGACACACCCGACCCATCCTTCAAATTCGGGGAAAAGGAGGACGCATTTGTCGGCTCAAAATAAATTTCTCCTCAAAATGCAACACTTGCACCTGCAAACTTTTTTTTACATGCGCTCAGAATAGTGGCACAAAAATAACGCCATAAAGTCACGGGGCTCCGACAGCATGATGCAAAAACGCAGTTATGTCGCTGGACTGAGCCACTTTAGCTTCATTAACCACAACTGAAAACCACTGCATCAAGACAAAAGCTTCGAAAAACTCACTCTGGCAGACAAAATCCGGCACAAATGATTAAAACTAAATCACTCACAACTGAGCGCAAAACCTTTTCATGAACTTTTAAACGTGGATGAAAGACGTTAAAACTCATCGGAATATATCGTTGATATTTATAATACAGTAAAACATGTGGTTAGTTAAAGCTGTTCAGTAACACAGTCGTGAAGGCTTGGAAAGTGACCTTGTGCTAGCAGTCCACTAACTGCCATTTGTGTAAAAATACGATACTATCATTACAGTGATGATTATTAATCTAATTTTGACGTATCATACTGTTTAAAACCTTTACTCAAAACCAATATACGTTATTGTTTAAACCGTGTCTTATATTCGAACAAATTAAGAAGTCTTACCTCTGACAAAATGGAGATGTCCACTCATGAAGCGCGCGTGTGTCCTGCACGTGGCACAAAGGATTATGGGTGGAAGTGTACAATGATTAAAATGAAAATGCTTTCATCAGTTAAATCTATTAGATTTCTTAAATTGTTTTGGTACTCAAACATTTTTTTTTAAATCTACTCAACAAACCATTGCTGAATTTACCCCCCCAAAAAAGTGTGTAAATTTAAATAACTGAACATCTCAAAATTGTTGAATTTTGCTTAGATTTGATTAAAACTACTCATACACGTTTTTACTGAGTAATAATTACTATTACTCTCCTATTAGATTCTAATTAACCCCAATCACAGTTTTTACAGTGTATGAGAGACTGGGGACCTGTCCAGGGTGTTTCGCCCTGTGGTAGCTCGGATAGGGTCCAGCGCCCACCTCATTTAAATGAGCTTTTTGTATATATTAGAGCTGTTTCTTATATTTAGTAACTTTGCAATAAGTTGTGTTGTTTTATTTCGTTTAGTCAGTTACTGTTCTTATTGTCTTGAAGCAACGGAAACCACATATTTTCCTCAGGGATTAATAAAGTATTTTAATATCACTTTTGACAGCGAGAAACAAAATCAAGCATTTGAATAACTGGCAATGAGTCTTTCACATCACTGTAGAGGAATTTTGTACATGAATGGCCTGTTTAAGGCCAAACCATCTCAGTCTGGTTTAAGTGACTTCTAAGTCAGAAAACCTTCATTTCTTTATTTCTTTATTTAGCCATTCAAAAGTGCAAAAACTAGAGAGAAATCTTAAAAAAAAAGACTGTAAGTCTGAACCTTTATATCTGTTTTCCAGAAAAGAAAACAAACATCATTGGTTAAATGTGCCGTTTGAAAATTACTGGCAGGTGACTTTATTCTATCACAATAAAAATTAGATAATTAAGCATTAAGCATAAAAATACAAATAAACAAATGAGATAAATAATCTACTACTATCTAATATCCAAAGTAAATAGAAGGAAATTCAAATAAATATTACAAAGCTCAGTAACAAATAAAATGTAGTCTCTCCTCACAGTCATGAGCATCCCAAACAGCCTTATTCCCTCCTGTGACCTTCCAGGCTCCACACTTTATCTTGGCATGTGAACATGATGGTTTTCCCTCTTCACCCCAGGCCTCATAGTCCATCTCCTGCCCGTCCACCCACAGCCAGTCCCCAGCCAGAAAGCGCAATCCAGTCCAGACATGTTCAGTGGTGTTATGTTTGCTCAACTCTTTCTGGATCAGCAGCATCTCAGTCTCAGATGCCACACTGGCCAGGTCATCGTGGTGCTCCCTGCAGTACTCCAGAGCTTCCTCCCAAGTCTTTTCCTGCTTCACCAGTGCTGCACTGTAGCAGAAGAAGGTTATTTTATATAATAGGCTTGCATCATACCACCTGCTTTCCCGCATACAGCCATAGTCTTCATGACCCAGAAGATAGTTATCGGGCTGACCTGGTTCCCACAAATACCAGGTTGGTGCTCCACCTCCTGACCACAGCCATTCTTTTCGGTTTGAGAAATTTCTTACCAGTCCTATCCACATAAAGTCATTGACATTGCTGGAGAGCTGCTGAAGTTTGTCATTATCCTTCTCATTACTGACAGGGGCCAGGTCTGTGTAATGCTGCTGACAGTAAATCTGAGCTTGACGCCAATCCATTTCCTGGTCAATGTAAACGTACTTGGAAAAAGTTGCAGACAAGCTAAGCAGGAGCAGGATGAAGATGAAGATTTGATCCATTGTTGATTTACTCCACAGAGTTCGTCAGAGTAGTGGGGATCCAAACAGTTTGGAAGATATATGCTGGAGATGTGAGTTTTACCTTTCAAAACCTATTTGCATGACAGGACTGCCCTTTCATTGTCAGTACCTGTTAGTATTCAGGAACACACACCTTATGCTCACTTGTTCAAGTAGCTGATAACTCACCAGAAACTCAAAAGAGACCAATTTTGATATCTCAAACACATCAAAACTTGAATAAAATTCAAAATTTCATATACGGAACTTGAAAATGTATCAACATTTATTATCACAATTTTCAAAAAGCAGAAGATTAGAGGACAGTTAAAGACACTGACTAATATTAATATTAACATATATTTGAATCCGGTTCTCCAAATCCAACAATTTTCATTTTGAATTTAACTTCTTGCTCTCAATCCTAGAGCTATACATTATTTGCTCCAACATCATTATATAGTAGTGGCCGACTGATATAGCTTTACAGCTGGGCCACTACTGCTTCTCTGGGCTACCTTTACAGAAGTGCTGCTGCTTTGCCTTTTTATGTTCTTTGTGCTTTTTCTTTTTTTTTTTTTTGCCAACTATCTTCTTTTGTTTAGGTTTTCTTCTGCCCATTTCAGTAACTGGCAGGGAATTAATTAGCTTGAGTCACTTTTTGTCTTATGCACAACTAACTTGGATTTCTGCAGTGAAACAGAATGTTTGATCTTTGCATATTCCTCTGGCTTTTTTATATTTTAGGTTTAGGTTTTTAGATTAGCGTTTAAGCGCTGGGAAGTTATCTGCTCAGAAGAGAAAATGTAATTTGTTTTGTGTTTGTACATTTGGTTTCTCAACGTTTTATTTGTAAATTCTCATTTTTTGCGTTACACCACTTTTAGGAGGCCCTTTTTCTAGCTACAGATAACCAGTGTGTTTCTGCAGTAGTGCTAACCACAGAGGGTGTGTATTTGATTTTTGTTTTGGATACATTAATAATTTGTTTTCTTTTACTCGGAAGCTGAAGGGCTAAAGTGGAGGTGACTGGGCGTTGTCCAGTTTTCCTTACAACTGTAAAAGGTTTTAAGCTCCCACTTGTCACACCAGCATTCTAGTGTGTGTGTGTATGACATCATTGCTTCCTCACTCTTTTCCACATTATTTCCACCCCTTCGTGTTGCCACATATTCATGATATATTTATTAACCGTACATACTAACATTCAGAAGGTGAAAGCTTACATATTAAAACTTTTGAGTTTAAAGTAGCTGCTGTTAGGCAGCTAAAAGTGTTTAGGTGTGTTGAAGAAAGACCCTATGCCAAGTTAATAACTTTGACTCACAATAACTGTATCTTATCAAACAAATGAGGCTCAGAGGGTGCTAAATTTGGCAGTTTTCTTTCAGAAGTCCCAGACTTAGAAACACTTTGAACCCATACTGTGGAAAGCCGAGCTTTCCAACACCCGAGCACCACACCACCATAGAGGCATAAAGTGGAAAAAAAAAACAAGCATATTGGGCCAAGCTAAACAAATTTTTAATTTCCATAAGGCAAAACTGAAATGTTGCTGGCTTCACATCAGACAAACAAATCACTGTATTCAGGAACAAGGCAAAGTCATTTTACATATTGTTATGTTTTCCTAATGGAAAAAACAAATGCAGAAGTCAGGAAAAGTAGTTCAAAGAGGACTGAAGGAATTTAATACACTGAACTGGCCTTTGCTCTCTTTTGCATTCTTTCATTGTTTGTGCTGTGATTATTGTGTAATTTATTTTTTTTTTGGAACTGCTATCAGCAAAAGTACTAGAAACTGTCTGTCAGATTTGTCCAACACTTGTCCTTCAGAATTGAAGCTGAGATTTGTCAGCAAACTGCGGCACTGGCAGTTCCAGGGCAGGCAGGTGACTCAACTGATAACAACGGTCATACCTTCCTTATTTCACTAGAGTGCCAGAAAAGAGGAATACGAGAGCGGAGCCTGAGCTGTGTGAAGGAGTAGTGAGCTGGAGAAAAGCAGAGACTGAAATTGCAGTCTGAAAAGACAAATGTAAGAAAAGCAATTTGTACTGAACCAAAGTCCATATGTGTATGTCGTGCTGGGTCCCCAAACTGAAAGGTAGGGGGTTGTGTGGTGAAGCCTCCTTGAATATGTCAAATCTTTTCGGCCAGTTGCTTCACCAAAAGGCAGATCACATGAAGCCCCGTACAGCAGCTCATTTGAAAGTACTAACCTCTGCTGGTCATTCTTTGTATAGCAGCCCTGTTGTAGTAATACATGTGGGTACATACCGGTGAATATGTAAAAATAATGATGTAGAATACCCTTATGAGAGCTGGAGCCTATCCCAGCTACCATAGGGCGAGAGGCAGGTTACATCCTGCCTCTTGCATATGACATAGGGCTAACATATAGAGACACAGAACCATCCACACTCACATCTAAAGGCAATTTAGAATCACTAGTCAACCCAACCCAACTAACTGCATGTCGTAGAACTGTGGGAGGAATCCAGAGAACCTGGAGAGAAACCTGGAACAAACTCCACACAGAAAGACCCCGGCCAGATGATGGAGGGGAACTCATGACCTTCTTGCAGTGTGAGACGTAACATCACTACTGAAAAGTGTTACAGTGATACACTTCAGTCACAATTAACATAATTTGAAAAGCCTTGTGGAAATGTGATTAAAGTTATCAGTTATAGCAGTTTTGATGCTTTTAAAATAATTCAAATGCACCACAGGTTTATAATTTCATGACTGAACAGCAAGTGGCTTTAATAGTTTTAGCCTGTGCTGCCCTCTAGTGTACAGGATGGCATAATGCCTCCAGTTTTGCTTTCCTAGCTTTCAGTTGCTGATTCTAATGATGGCAAACACGGTAGGTTATTTTCAGCTCTTTAGCTAGCTCTGATGCCCATACCTGCATTAGAACATCACAGCAAGCTCATTTTTACTCACTCTTGCTGTGTGTGTGTCAGTGTGTGTATTTTGATGCAGATTTGCCTTTTTGCATGTGTTGTACTATCATTATTGTGTAGTTTTGCATAGAACTCATACGACTGAAGATCCTTTAAATCCCTTTGTTTATGTTCTTTAGCTCACTCTCCTCCAGGTTTGACTGAGACTCATCTTGTGCGAGTATTGGGACCGAAGCCTCATCAGTAAAGTGGATCAGGTCAGTTATGAACACCATATATTTTTATCTACATATACTTTTTGTCCATTAACATTATTAAAGATTCCCCAGCCATAGATGGAATCATTTGACAACTGTGAAGGAAGCTAATCATAGCTTTCAAATGTAGCAGCTTTAGGTTTTTCCAGAGCCATAATTTTTTACTGTAGCTGAGAACAGTGACTGATCAGACTTTAAGCGCTAGATCCAAATAGGCAGGAGTCTACCATAGATGACAGGACCTAAGTTGCAGACTCTGCAAAGGTGCTCTGGAGAATATGTTCAAGGTTCTTTATTTGTCACATGCATAATTATACAAGTATAACACACAGTGAAATGTAACCTGACACGCTCCTCGACGTGTGCAAAAATGGG